AGACATGATGAGGGGTAGAGAACAGAGGCATGCTGTGATAATATGGGGTGGCATAGTAGCTGATTTAAATTTTGTTGTTTTTCCTGATTATTCTCTTTCTCTAGCTCCTTTTTATAAGAAATGTGTGAGACATAAAGATGTGGTATTTTATTTATTTTTTTTAATTTTTTTTTAATGTTTTATTTATTTCTAGGAGAGAGAGAGAGACAGCGTGAGCAGGGGAGGGCCAGAGAGAGAGGGTGTCACAGACTGAAACAGGCTCCAGGCTCCGAGCTGGCAGTCAGCACAGAGCCCGACGCGGGGCTTGAACCCACGAACCGCGAGATCATGACCTAAGTGAAAGTCAGACGCTTAACCAACTAAGCCACCCAGGCCCCCCAAGATGTGGTATTTTAAAAACACTATTTGCAAATTTTTATTTGGGATCAGAGAAATTATTATTCCAGAATTAGTTTTAAAAACTAGCTATTAGGGGCACCTGGATGGCTCAGTTGGTTGATAGCACAGTTCATGAGTTCGAGCCCCATATTGTGCTCTGTGCTGACAGTTCAGAGCCTGGAGCCTCTTTGGATTCTGTGTCTCCGTCTCTCTCTGTCCCTCCCTTGCTTGTACTCTGTCTCTCTCTCTCTCTCTCTTTCTCTCAAAGATCAATAACTGTTAAAATTTTTTTTAAAGAAGTGCAACTATTAGAGGAATTACTAGATTAAGTGAACTTTAATTTTTAAATATAATAATATAATCACAAATGCATTATCGGTCTGAAAACTGATGTTAATTTATTTACTTTCATAAGATTAATTGCATTCATAAAATTTAAATATGTTATTGGCCACCATTTTAAACACTCCAAATGGAAAGTGCAAAGCTATAGTTTGGTAGGGATTGTAATAAATGTTTCATTAAATGATTTGGATGATAGAAGCTGAAATCTGTCATTATATTTTTGCACTCCTGCTTCAGATTATTTCCAGCCTTTGTTTCCAATGGGGCCTTTATTAGTGAAGATATAGTAAGTTCTGTTTTTGATGGAGGGACACTTTATGTGAGACTCATTTTCCGATCTGGTCTAGGCTACTTTGGATAGATTCATTCTCCTAAAGCCTCTGAAACTGATTGATCTCTAGATGTGTAGAAGAAGTTATAAAACACCAAATAAACCAGTACATAATGCAATCTATAAAGGTATTATTGGACACAAATATATAGATCTATGTATTTCTCAGAAAAAATAGATTTATAACCATTCATGATTTATTTTTAGCTTTTAGACTTTAGAAGTTTTCGCCTTGGTCTTATAAATGGTATGTTCTGCAAAAGTGATAGAAATAGAATATTATAATAGAGAAGTAGCTTGAGAGAAGATAATCATGTGAATCAGGTTCCCAGTTCCAAAACTTAAACAGGGATTTACAACATGAGGGAATGTCCATTCCTTTATATCCAAACAGCCCAGTGAATAAAAGAACAAAACATAATGATAGTAATATTTTAATGTTTATTTTAATTAATCTCAATTAATTCTACTGAAAATTTTAATGAATTGTTATCTACTAAATATGTAAACTATATAAAAAGTAGAGACTACATATTCCCCTTTTTCTCTTACCTATGATCACTCCCAGCTGACATTTAATTTTTTTAACAAATCCATCCATAACTGGAGTATGAAAAGTTAGTTGTGAAGTTGCAGCATCTTAGAACTATTTCCCAGTTTGACATAGTTACTTATAGCATTAAACTTGTTCGTTTCCCAAACTACAAAACTTCTTCTTGACCAATCCCACATCACTTATATGAAGATATCATGGATATACATACCTCATTCTTGGTGAAAGCAGGGAGTTTATAAGGTTTTTATATGCTTAGAATCTTCACCTTAACATAACAATCATAATTGCTGAAAATACACAAGAATTTTATAATGTGAAGATGTAAGTATATCTTATTTACAAAGTAAGAATGTTGACACTTAGTAGGAAGACTATAGTGTAAAGAAGCATATTTGGGACAGCATATTACATCAACAAATAATTGTGATTTTGTTTACTGTCTATAACTATTTTTTAGATTTTTAAATAAAAAAGTAGAGGACATTTGGAGTAATGTATACATTACTTTGGAATAGTCACAAAAATATAACTTAGCATGCTATTTTTATGTTGTTCTTATTAATCATGAAGGGTTGGTAGGCAATTCTGTATTGCTATGTCAGTTATTGGAGATGAAATTTTACAAGTTTTTACATGATTTTACATGCTTCCATTTGCCAAATACAGAAATAAAAGCCAGAGACATATTGTCCCTACAGAACATTTTTTCTTTTTAGTTTTCTCCAACTAAACTTAGCTGCTTGAACATCTAATTTGTTCAGTATCCTATTTGCTGAGGCAGCATATCCACTCACTTTTGAGAAGACTTTAGGAGCAGCAATGTGACTGCTGAGCTATTGATTCACTTAGAATAATAATTATTCTTGTCCATTAAGGACAAATCCTATGGCCTCCTTTTAAATCTTAGAGTAATGAAAAGGGAAGTATTTTGTTTTGTTTTGATTAAGTTTTTTTAAAATTTTATTTCCAGGTGGTTAACATACAGTGTTATATTTGCTTCAGGTATGCATTATAATAATTCAACAGTTCCATATATCACCCTGTGCTCATCATGACAAGTGCATTCCTTAGTTCCAATCACCTATTTAGCCCACCGCCCTCCCATAACCATCAGATTGTTCTCTATAATTAAGAGTCTGTTTCCCTCCCCTCTCTCCCTCTCTCTCTTCCTCTCTCTCTCTCTAAGTCCAAATTGGATTGAAATCCTATAGTATTTGTCTTTCTCTGACTGACTTATTTCACTTAGCATAATACTCTTTAGCTCCATCCATGTCATTGCAATTGGGATGATTTCATGCTTTTTTATGGCTGAAGAGTCTTCCATTGTGTGTATATACCACATCTTCTTTATCAATTTATCAATCAGTGGACACTTGGGTTGCTTCCATATCTTGGTTAATGTAAATAATGCTACAGAAACACAGTATATGTATCCCTTTGAATTAGTGTTCTTATATTCTTAGGGTAAATACCTGGTAGTGCTAGTATTGGTTATACTTTCATGTTTAATGTTGATAACAAAATGGTGTCAGTTTATCAGGTCATATCTTTTGATACCATAGGCAATGATTCCTCCAAAATATAAAATGAAAAAGAAATAATTTACAAAACGCTCTTCATAATCTATTAACCAAGGTGTGTTTCCCACCTGTAAGGAAATGATTATATGAAACAGGTATAAGGGAATGTAGCACCCTGGGAAGAGAAATGTCTATCCTAAATGTATCCTATCCTTCCCTGACGCATCAAAGATCTTCTAAGCGTATAAGAATCTGCAAACTTCCTGGGTTGGCATCAGTCTAGATCCACTTAAGAAAACATAAACTATTCTTCGTCCTTCAACAAAGGGATGATTATCACGGGTGGTTGATAACAGATGCATTAGGTATATGTGGTTTAATTCAAAGTACTCCTTTTAATACTTTTGAATGATTCCATGATATTTTGCTGAATAGGTATTAGAGAATTAAAGTTTGTTGTCTTCCTCTGAGATATTTTAATGCTATATATTTGGGGCAGATACCAAAACTCTTAAATGGGTGCTCTTGTTATTTCTTGAATAATTTGCCATATATATTAATAATAAAACCCCACAGAATGTATATATACCTACATTTATCAAGAACATTTTACAAATATGTATATAATCTAAGAACTTTAATTAGAATATTTTGATATATATGTAAAAATTGGAAAGGCTCCAGAAATTAACCAATCTAAAAAATCTCAACTTAGGGGTGCCTGGGTGGCTTAGTCGGTTAAGCATCCCACTTTCGCTTAGGTCATGATCTCGCGGTTCGTGGATTCGAGCCCCGCGTCGGGCTCTGCGCTGACTGCCAGCTCGGAGCCTGGAGCCTATTTCAGAGTCTGTGTCTCCCTCTCTCTCTGACCCTCCCTTGCTCACGCTGTCTCTCTTTCTCTCTCCTAGAAATAAATAAAATATTTTTAAAAAAATCTCAACTTAAAAATAAAAAGATTCTAAAAATAAATAAATAAAATAAAATAAAAAAATAAGGAGAATCAGAATTTCTTAAAAAACCTTAATGTGTACTTGATTTTTATATAGTCCTCTCCTTGTCAAAATATATATGCATATTCACTTACTTACATATATGCAAACAAAGCTTGAGAGGACATAGGAATTTAAATACGTGAAAATAAAGCAAAAAATATTTCCACTTTTAATGTCAAAAAATCTCCAATGTATGTATTATATGTATTGTCATCACATATAATCCACTGGAAGTATACATATTTCAATATTTATATATATATAAAGTGATATATATGTAAACATAAATATATATTTCAATATAAAGTATTCAAATGATTTAGTATATAGTGTCTAGAAAATATTTTAATTGTTATAGTTTCAGAATAACAACATACAATGTTTGTATGAATAAATAAATATGATTCCTGAGAAATTATGTTTTACTTTTAATATTAATAGATTTTTCACAAGAAATTGAAATACTACTATGACATATTATACTTCTCAATAACATGTTAAACAATAAAGAAAATAAACTACCATCAAAATGTATAAAATTCAAGTGGTTTAAAATCATAAATTTTTAGTTTATGATTCAGATAGTTTAACTGTCTTAAGCAAATAGTATTATGAAGCATTTAATGAAGTAAGAAACCTTGTTCAAAGACCAACATTTTGAAAATATTTGGATATATTATTAGTCATATCTACAGTTTCTACTTTTTATTTGCCTCAAGTTTATTACTCTAAAGTTAGCTAGAATTTACCATTTAATATTTTTAACCAATAAAAGTATTGTTGTTTTGAATTCCTGTTACATAATAGTCAACTATTGACCAAGTCTGATTTATTAAATTTATATACTATTTTTCTATCCATGAGATACCTATTTTTTCCTACAGTATGAATGGAATCATGGCTGATTTTCTATGCATATAAGAACTGAATTTCTTCAAATAAATCTTATGCTTCTTTTGTGCCCACAGAGACATCTGGATACTCATCAGAAGTGTAAAAATCCCAACTAGAAGAAAAAAAGAAATAATTATCCTTTCTTATTTCTATGATCGATATAGCAAGTTATCCTAAGAAAATTCAACTATCATATGTAGCTCTTAAAATATTTCTCAAATGTTGCATACTTCTGTATCAATTTTCTTTACTCATAGTAATTGCTTCACATAATATATGTTCATCCATATTTATTGCATAGTTGAAGTAACATAGAAAGAATATAGCAGAGACAAAAATAATCCACATTTTCTATATCTCACTGCCACAAAGTATTTCCAAATAAGGAATTAACTGTTTTAATTTTCAATAGTAGTTTTCTATATGCAGATAATATACCTCTAAACACACATCCACATGGCAAACTACATTAACTATGATTTAAAATTTTTGTACAGTAGAACACTGTAATGTATGTAATCCATTTACTTTCCAGTAAGTGAAGTTCATTACAATTTAACTCTTATGTATGTTAAAATGCCCAGCATTTGAGATGACACACTCATGCTTCCTGCCTTCCATTCAGAGATATCATGAACACTTGAAGGACATAACATATACACACATCTGTATTCATCATAAAAAAGATTTTCAAGTGAAGTGCATTATTAACACAACTTCTTGTTAATAAATCCTTGTTGCTTACTAAATGTATTTGGGCCTACATTAAGCCAAAAGTACCTAGTGATTTTTTTCCAATATATTTTAATACTGCTAAAAATATCCAAAATAAAGATAGAAATGAAAGCAAAAAATCCTTTTGCAAAGATGCCAGACTTTTGCACTATAGAAACTTGTTCTCAGAAACCACTTATCCTAAAGGATCATTTACTTAAATGTCAAATTACCGAGGTCTTACCTGGCAGTGTTTGTGTCATGACTGTGAAACTAATCCATGATCCAATCTGTTGGATTAAATTAATAAATACCATAATTAATCTAGGAAGTTTTTCATTTATGATATTAAATAGGTAATGTGAAAGCTTAAAACACGATAGAAAGATAGAAAAACTATAAGTAGAAATAAATTTTCCCCAAATAATGATTTTATCGTTAATTATAATAGTCATATAAAATTTCATAAACGGCATCATATTCATAAAATATGTTAAATGTTAAATGTTCTGATTTCTTATGCCTATAACTCAAACTGAAATCTATTTCATAATTTGTATCTCCGTCTATTCCTATATCTATAGATAAAACCTGTGTATAATCACATATATTAAACTATAATACCTGTAAATACAGAAACATATGCATTTAGTTTATCATAGAATAAAGTTTAATTATTTACATGCATAAATAGCATACCTCATAGGTGTAGTTAGGACATGAAACCAGGAAAAACATCCATGTGAAAGGGTTATAATTTGGACTTGGAAAACAGGCATTAATTCCTTTTAGAAAGAATAAAATATCAATGATAGTACATATTGCAAATTTAATCATATATATTCTATATAATTCTAAAATCCCTAAAACAACTTACACCACATAAAATGTCATCGTGTATTTATAGAACCAATTTTCCAATTTATTCAGAAGAGTCCCAGTTTCAAATGCTATGACCTTTTGACTCAGAACAATATACCTGTAATTTTCTATGTCTAGAGCTATGTTGCCGTAAAATTATACAATATACCATGATAATCAGTTATTTAAACTTTAATACAGAATGTATTTTGCATATCATAACAGTTGCAGCTGAATTGCACACTAAAATTAGTAAATGTACTTTAACAATCGCATGTCTCTTCTCTTTTAGTGTCAAAGAAGATGTTTTTGGTTGAGATTGTTAAATACTTCAAACCTCCTTTTCTATTTAATTAGTGAAAATCCAAAGGGAATTTCATAAGGATGTCATTTATATCAGAAAAGTGTGAAAATCTCTCATAAGAGGATTACAGTGAATATCAGCATAGTTAAAATTCAGAAATACCACATAAATTATTTCTGCTCAGCAATCAGGATTGTTATTTACAGTTTTCATTATACTTAGCATACTGTCATTTGATTTTTGTGATTCTTTGACTTTTAATTTATCTCAAGAAATATTTTAGATAACGTATTAAAATGATTGCAAGTTGAACTTTGAGCTGTGACATTTATAAAAAAGTAAATATGAATTATAAAATTACTGTTTGTTCTCCATAGCAAGTTTAATTGGATAACATATCAACTAATCTTATTTAGTTATAATTCTAAAGCCAGAATGAAATGCCAGCATGTTGTGTTCAGAGTTGTATCTATTGTTAAAATATCAGCATAAAAAATGTATTAGATCTATACAGGTTTCATGTACTGCTCATTTCAAGATAAAGATAAATATATACACCATTTAATATTATAGATTATCTTGACAACATACATGTAAATGTCTTGGTGTAATGCCCATATATTCATCAAAAGAAAAATGATTGAGGGGGTGCTGGGATGCTCAGTCCACTAAACATTTGACTCTTGCTTGAGGCTCATGTCATGATCTCATAAGCCCAGATCATGGAGCCCAGTATCAGCTAGGCACTGACAGCACAGAGTCTGCTTGGGATTCTTTTTCTCACTTGCTTTCTGCCCCTACCCTGGTCATGCACATGTGTGAGTGCTCTCTCTTTCTCTCTCTCACAATAAATAAATACACTTAAAAAAAAAAAAAAAGAATTCCAAAACTCAAAATAGATATGGCCAAAACACAAAGAAAAAAAAAAAGAGGAGAGTTGGTTGTACTCAAGAAAGAAATTGTAGAAAAAGGAAAAGAAAATCATCTCAGTAATATAGACATTTCAATTTGCTTAAAGTAGGATGTTCAATAGAATAAGGACTATTAAGTAGATGAACAAAAACAGCCAAAATAAAGAAATAAGAAGGTAAAAATAGAAAGTGATATATAAGATATAAACATATAATACATATATAATTTACCCCATCACCCAGTCCACAAAGCAACAAAACAAATTTTAAATTACAAAATTTTCTATAACAAAAAAAAGGACATGAATCAATGTCCTGGAAAATTATCATGTGTCTGAGAAAATTGACCTGAAGTGATCAACTCTACGACACAACCTACAAAATTAATAGACGTGGTGGTAAAGTCTTTTGAGTCTGAAGGCAAAAAGACCAAATCAATAAACAAAGAAGGGAACATTAGATTTCTGATTTCTCAAGAGCAACATATAAGGAAGATAAAAGGTGGAGTAAACACTGAAGAAAAAAAAAAGTTTTTTCATTTCAACAAGTCCAGAGTCACATTTGACTTTAGAAACATTATGATTTAATTTTTTTCTTTTTCTTTATTTTTTAAATATCTATTCATTTATTTTGAGAGAGAGAGAGAGAGTGCACAGGAGGGGCCGAGAGAATCCCAGGCAGGCTCCATGGAGTCAGCACAGAGCCCTATGAGGTGCTCAGTCCCACAAACCCTGAGATCATGACTTTAACCAACATCAGGAATGTGACATCCAGCCAACTGAGCCACCCAGGGAACCCATAAAATTTTCATTTTCATATAATGATACTGTAATCCAGAGAAAATGAAGAAATTTGAACAAGGTAATATTCTTAAAGGCTCATAATCAATACTAAAATTAGTGATATTCTTAATTTTGTCAATATTAGTATTTTTATAGAATTGTATTGTGTTTCTATACTAAAAACAAATCAGACTATCAAAACTTTTAGGCTTCAAATACATCCAAAGAGAACTCAGTAAATCTATGAATTTGGATAAGATAAAAAAGGCATCCAACCATTTCATTAAATGCGGGTTCTGCTGTTATGCAAAAACAGACAGTAAACCACCATAGCATTGGCATTAATCAGTTACCATTTTTCAGTCAGAGAAAGTACAGATATTTTCAAATCATATTATAGTTATTTAATACTGCTTTAATTCTTAGCATCTGTTTATTTTTCTCATATAGAGATTGTCATTTGATGTGAGTAGGGCATCCACACTTCATTTTAGAGAAACCATTATTAGAAAATATGATTTAACTCAAATATTTGAAAAACTTAAGACTAAAGGGGCTAGAATTGGGGGACACTGTCTTTAATGTTTCCAACTATTCCTTTAAAAAATTGTTCACTTAAGGCTTTGAATAATAGTAATTAACACAATTCACACTAGAAAATATAAAAAAGGACTAACCTGTGTGATTGGGATGAGATAATACTACATTGATGAAATGATTTCCAGCTTCACAGATCTGTAAAACATTTAAAACTTTTCAGCGTGACATGCCTGTTCCTCTTTAAAAATTGTATTCTCTCTATATATACTAATGTCCATGTAATATATTAATTCCAAAGATCCAAGAGACATTATACTCTAACTGCAAGGAAAGGATATTTTGAATTATAACAAAAAAAGCTGTTGAATATATATATTGCATTAACATAATGAGTCACACAGAGGTAGAAACTTTGAAGATATTATTGATACCTTTTGACATCTAGGTTCAAATTTCCTTGTTTGTGCTGATTATATGCTTTGTATTTATTTCAGTAGGTAAGTTTGCATGGGTGGTACTTACTGTACTTACTGAACCTGTACTGCAAGGCAGGTAGTGTGACTACCAGTTGGATACAGCTCAGTTTAGAAAACTTATTGTAATGTGAGGATGAGCACTGGGTGTTACGTGGAAACTAATTTGACAATAAACTATTTGTAAAAAAAAAAAAAAGAAAAAAGAAAAAAAAAGAAAACTTATTGTAAGACGTACTGTCTCACAAAGACACTTGCTACTTGTCTGTCATCTGGCCTCTTGATCATGTTCACTCCACTAGCTGTCCCTGTAAATAGGCCACTATGACCGTCTGGGAAGCTTGTCTTACTGATATCTTTGGACAGAGCATGGGGAAGCCTAATAATATTCCCAGTATGTATTCAACATTTAAATACTATGTTATAAATAACAAGTTGTTATTCAAAACCTTTATTGTTTAGAGTCATACACAGCTTCGCTATAATATATCCCATAATTGAGCATGTTTTTAACTCAGTGTCTATAATGGTACTAATCTCTTAAAATATACCTGATTTTATTCTTTTCAACAATTTCTGTATGGATTTATTCACATGTAATCATTTTGTAATTGTAGAAGAAGCTCCCAGTTTCTCAAGTTATCATTAGGAATCAAAGTTGAATTTTGCATTTTCAAATAATAATTTTATAGTTGAAATTATTTGTAGGTGAATGTTGGTAAGAGTGTGGGCTCTCGTTAGATGAACTTGTGTTCAAATATCACATCTTTTAAATTACTTATTAGAGAATACATGATTAAGACATTTGAAATTTCATTTCACCCAAATGCAAATATTGCTTCCCATCTCATCATGATTATTTTAGGATGATTAAAAGAAATCCAGTGTCTGACATATGAATTGTCCAAAAAAATTATGATAATTTTAGTTACCAATATCATCAGTTCAAAACTTCTCCAGAAAATTATCCTACATTGATTGATCTCACTTCTCTAAATTTCTATGTCACGTATTGGCTGCACTACAAAACATATAATTACCAAATTAATAACTTGTTATATTTGTTTGATCTTAATACCTTTGCTCATCTTTCAGTCAAATAGCATGTCATACTCATTTTTCATCACTCACAGTGCCAAACACACAATGGAATATATGATAAAAATACTTAGTAATTAATAAGCAAATTATCTTACCAAATCTTTATAAACAAATTATCCTTTAGAAATATGGATTTTATTCTGGTGAAACATATTCACCTTTTGATTATCAATATTTTATACTTATTGAACCATCAAAATACTTTCACCTTCTTACGTTTTTACAACACAGTAATATGGAACAATCTTCTATCCAAGGTGAGGCCATTAAAAAAAGAACTTTTAGGCTTCAGTCAGACCACTAGAGTAGCTGTATAATAATGCCATAATTTAAGATTAACTGCCCCTTCACTCCAGCCCCAAAATAAAACATGTAAGAAAAATAAGAAAAATAAAAGAAGGGGATAAGAAAGTGGTAAATAAGGAAACTATTCCATCTTGCTCTCTACTAATGAAATGCATATCTATATACATTCCAGGGGTGGAGAGAAAAAAAAAAACACATTGGCTATATCCATATGGTAGGAAATACTTAGTTTATCATCAGCTTAGCAACTCCATAATGGATTTTAAAGAGCAATGTGACTATTTTCAGTTTTCACCTTAAGCACTGGCTTTAAAATTCTGGAGAATGATTGAGTCCACTCTAGGCTAATTGACCTAGATAGAAGTGGTTGATATAATTTCCTCTTGGGTCCAGGCTGAGTAATGTTAGCAAATTCAGTCAGTGCTATAAAACTCAATATATGGTTCTATCACTGAATAAAATTTCAGAAGCACATTAAGTGTGAAACACTGGAACATTTTTCAGCCTGATTTACACATTTCTCCTGGATTGATTCTTTTCTAAACTAGATATATTCATTTCGCACATTATATGTTAACACAATAATTTCGTAAAGTTTCAGGAAGTTGCTATCATTAGGTTTGATTTTTACTTACTTAAAATTTAAATTGTCTTATGTAGCAAAACAAACAGATGCAATCTACTATGAACTATGTATGATTCCTATGTAACACCAATGGTAAAGACATTGTAGATAATAAGAACACAGAAACATAAGAAAAAAATATTATGGAAACATTGTCCAGATATTTTAAGAAAAAATTATATTTAAATATGATATGCAAGAAGAAGCACGGTTTTCCTGCATTACAACAGTAAAACAAATAAGTTTGAAAATATTTCATTTGACTTGCTCATATACAAATTGACAATTTGGAACAATGTTGCCTTTTTTCAAAAAGTTTAATTAGACAGATAAGTTTATATTTTCTAAACACATTCACAGAGAGATCGGCAACTCAGAGGCATTGCCAGAATCACCTTACTTATGAAGAAAAAGATGACTTAGGTTTTAAAAGTCATTAGGAGTCCATGCACGGCAATGTGGATACACTTAACACTGATGAGCTGTGCACTAAAAATGGGTAAGATGGTACATTTTATGCTATTTGCGTTTTTACCATAGTTAAACATTTTTTAAAATTTCCTAGATAGTGTTTTAATTGCAAAAGAAGTTTAGAAGGGTAAATACTATGATTTCAGATGTACTTTCATTTGGAAGTATATGTCTGGTTTAAAATAAATCTAAACAAAAATTATTTGTGCTTGTTTCATATAATTTTTATTGGGTAGCTTAACTGTCTGATGCATCATACTATATGAAAAATAGGGTGTTAATAATTCAATAATCTAGTCTCTTTAGCATTAACATTATATTGATAAATATGAAATATAACTTTGTCAGCTAACCGAAAGTATCACAGTGTCCACGTGAGAACAGAATCTTTCCTTAGATGTTTTGATTTAGAAAGTAAATGGAAATACTTTTATTCTTTCAGCTTCCTCAGTACTCTCAGTTCTCTGACATTTCAATTTTATTTTTAATTAGTATTACTAAATATTTAACAATGCAGGATGGGTAAAATAGGTGATGGGAATTAAGGTGTGCACAGGTAATGCATGTAAGTGTTCAATCACTATGTTGTACTCCGTAAACTAATATTACACTGTATGTTACATAACTGGAATTTAAATAAAAACTTAAAAATAAATATGTAGATCTTAAAAACATATTTAACAATGTGCATGTGGGGCTGGGAAGTGTCAAATTAATAGCTCTTAAAGGACTTTTTAGTGAATATATTAGAAGTGTTGTACAAATTTTTATCAAAATATTCGCCATTAAATCACACTGTTTCCATATTAAAAAACATGATTGTATCACAATATTTGGAATTTCAGTAGTAAAGATGCTTCTTGTTTACTACTAGGTACTGTAGCTCAGTCCATAGCATGCCTATGACCAATGCCAAGAAGGCTAACTTGCAGAGATCCACTTTATTTTTAAGTTTTTATTTAAATTCTAGTTAGTTTGCATATAATGTAATATTAGTTTCAGGAATAGAATTTTAGTGATTCATCACTTACATATAATACCCAACGCTCATCACAAGTGCCCTTCTTAATATCCATCACTTATTTAACCCATCCCCCACCCACCTCCCTGCCAGGAACCTTCAGTTTACTGTCTCTGTAGTTAAAAGTCTCACCCCTATGTTCATCTATTCTATTTTTTAAATTCCACATATAAATTTAATCACATAGTACTTGTCTTTCTCTAACTGATTATTTCCCTCAGTATAATATACTCTAGCTGAATTCACATTGTTGCAAATGGATTCATTCTTTTTGATTGCTGAGTAATATTCCATTTGTGTGTATGTGTGTGTGTGTGTGTGTGTGTGTACATATATATACAAATCTTCTTTATTGATTCATCAGTTGATGAATGTTTGGGCTCTTTCCATAATCTGGCTATAGTTGATAATGCTGTTATAAGCATCAGCCCTTCAAATCAGTATTTTTGTATCCTTTGGGTAAATACCTAGCAATGCAATTGCTGGATCATAAGGTAGTTCTATTTTTATCTTTTTGAGGAACCTCCATACGGTTTTCTCTGGAGAACCGTAGCTGCCCCACTTTGCATTCCCAACAGCAGTGCATGAGGTTCCCCTTTCTCCACATCCTCAACATCTGTTATTTCTTGTGTTGTAATTTCTGTCATGTTCTTTCTTGCAAGCTTCATCAAATGAAGCATTCTCTACTTATCTAAGTGAAAATGATGCACCTAGGGAACAAAATCTAAACATCCTAAACATCTGTTTTTCCCAAAGTTTTATATATGTTGTCATTATTATTAGTTATTGGCAGATGTAAGTTTATCATTATATTAATATAATTAAAAAATAGAATCTGCTAAAATGTCTCTAAAACTGATAATCAGGTGTGTTTTGCATTTCAGCTCTTTTAAGTTTTCTATTTCTAATAATAATAAGTGTTATTATTATAAGTTGTGCCTTATTTACTTTATCTTATTATTTCAAGGGAAATTGGATCACTATATAATTATGGAAAGCTTCATCTGTGGTACATATCAAGCATTATAAGCTTAAGAAGTTAGTTTCTACTCTAAGGGATTAAAGATATTCACATAGATGTGTTATTTGATAATATAAGACAATATTATACTGTTATTTAACATAAGTTTTATAACATAATAATTTATCACTATGATCATAAGATTCTAATAATTTATTTCAATTTCTAATCTTTATT